TAGATTGGATATTAGGAAATATTTCTTCAAAGAAAGCATTGTTAGGCATTGGAATGGCCTGCCCAGGGAGGTTGGTGGAGTCACCATCCCTGGAAGTGTTTAAGAAAAGACTGGACGTGGCAGTTAGTACCATGGTCTAGTTGACATGGTGGGTTAGGGCAAAGGTTGGACTCAATGATCCCAGAGGTCTCTTCCAACCTAATCGATTCTGTGATTCTTTGATTCTGTTTTCTTCCTGCAAGCCAGTGGATTGTCTCACGCACCCCCAGGGGCTGTATGCACCCCATTCTAGAGACCATTGGCTTAAAGAAGCATATATATATATATTCTGTGAGAAAACCAGTACTAAATAAAACGGTATTTTTTAACTGGAAGATGTTTAGAACTGATTCTGTGTCTTAGCTATTTCTCTAGGAATACAGAGAATACAGCTCTGGATACAGCACTGGAGTAAGATTCTCATGATCAGAGGAAGCTCCTTATGTCTCATCACTGGGGAATTACTAAGAAGGTAAGTTTGTCTCTGCTATAAGAGTTTTCAGTTTTAAGACAGTTGTGGTAATTAATACCATTACCATGTGGTAATTTTCCTGAGATTTAATTCAAAAGATTGTGTTGAAATGTGGAGTAACAAGAGGTCACTGAATGAAGTGCTTGTCAGGAACAGATATGTCAACAACATTAAAAAGAAAAGTCCCCAGATACATGTCTTGTTAGATGATAATACAATCTTCAGACAAGCTGATCAGAAATAGCAATGAATACACACTTTTGTTTAAATGCACTTTCTTGTGTTGAATTAATCACAAAAAAAGAAAAATTTGAATTAAGTTGAATAAAAATAAATATGAGTGTCTGATGTTAAAACATAATTTAATTCATATTGACAAAATATCTCAATGAAAAAATAAAAAATATAGTAAGAGATGCATAAATATCCCAACAATCTATGCATTTAAAAAGTCAAATAAAGATTTTCTTTGTCTTATCTCTAAAAAATACTAGTTTTCTAGTAATTTAGTCAGCAATCAGAAGTTTGCAGACAAGATGCTCAGGTGACTGTTGAAGAGTGGGAGATGGAGCCCCAGGAAACGGGGCTTCTCTTTTAGGGGAGAAGGGCCATGCTACCACTTCCTCAGGGAACACATAGGGTTAGTTTGATATTTGGCTGAAGGATCTGAGGTGCAGATAGCATAATTCCAGCTATGTGTTTTGTACCAGTGAGAATATGTAACCTAGTTCTTTTGGAAGACCTTGAGGTAAAAGTGTATGCTCTGAGCTTCAGGCATTGCTGGATCTTTTGATTCCTCAGTACTTTATCTTTTTTTACTTGACAGTTTAGGCAACTTGACGAAAAACTGCTATTCCAGTAAAAGGAGTCTTTTTCTCATAAATAATGGCCTACATCTTCAGCTGCCATGAGCTGGCATAACTCCTGATTTGATACCAGGATGTAAATCCATGGAGATTTACTTCCATTTCCTGTAGATCTACTTAGATGCGAGACCTTCTCTTCTGTTCTTAACATGGTATCTTAGTGGACCGTTTCTAGCCTGCAGTCCTATCTTTGGTACAAGTAACTGCCACCCATGTTAGGAAGTGGTCAGGGTTATATTAGAAATTTTGGATGTACTAAATTCCTGCTCTTTCTGCTTTGTTTGCTCTTGTTGGTCTCTCTGTTAGCTATCGCTCTCTTGTGAGATGGTCCAGAATCACTGATGGATCCTGTAGATGGTGATACACATAATTGAGTGGAAGCAGGTACATTTGTTGTGCAGTGTGCCAGATCACTTTTTTTAGTGCTATGTTACATGCCCTGTTTGTGTCCAGAAGTGCTCTCTGATGCATGCACTGCATGCCTAACTTAGCAGCACAGTCGTGCTCTGATCTGAACACTGCTTGGCTTAGCATCTCTTGTTTTTGAAGCCTAATGCTTCCCTTCAGCTGCAACCCATCTCTGTTGTGTGTATGTCTACTGCACATTGGGAATGAGGGGAAATAATTCGCAACTTGAGCAAATCCTCATTTACGTGACTCAAGTTCATCACTTACCTCTGTGACAGCAAAGCTTCTTTTCCCACATGGAACAACCTTGTACCATTTGTCATGCAGAACATCCATGAAACCGTGGGACTTGTACTGGCTTATCAGTTCAGAGATGTTTGAGGTGAGTGGAGAGTTGGGGGGAAGACCAATACCATATCCTAGAAGGAAAAACGGTACAATCATCTCTCTCTTACTTGTTTGCTTTTTGCTAAAGTATGTTCACTTCAGCTATCAACTACCAGTGTGGCAAATCAAGTCAGCATTGTGTTTCAGCAAGCCAGTTCAAACCTGGATGCTGGCTTACCGTGGACTGAGAATGCTGAGATGAGAATTTTTGCTGTGCAAAATAAAGTAGCCTGATACAAACAGGATATGCAAATTCAAAATTATGAAGGCCTCAAAAGTAATATGCAAAATTGGAGGCTCAAAAACTTAAGATGGAGGTACAGATAGGCGAATAAATCTGTCTTATCTCTAGAAACACAGCCTTTTGTATGTCCTTGCCATGGGTTCTTCTTTTTTACTTTGTTTTCATCAATGCAAAAGGGCCTTAATATCAAGTAAACATTTCTGTGATCCTTTTACATTGTTAGAGCAGTGGATGTGACTGTGGTATCAGATGTGATGTTTTCTTTTCTTCCTACATATTTACTGATGAGAAGCTGTGTGCATGTAAATTTAGATGAGAGAAGTCTATATTGTTGCCACATAGCAATTTAAAGCCCAAGGGTTACGCTTTCCGTTTGTGCAGTTCTGCTCTGGCAGTGACATGGACCTTCAGACAGTAATAAATCACTTTTTAGCCACTGTGTCATCTTTTACCATGTTAAAGTGCTGGTGAAGGACTTAGTGTAAGTGAAAATTAATTCAGTAACTCTAAATATGGTCTTTCAATTTGCAGAATCTGGGTTTTGACTTTAGAAAAAATAAATACAGTTCATGCTTGGAAGACAAGCAATTGCATGCAGAGAGGCCCTGCCAATTGCCTGCAGAGATTCCTTTCTAGTCCACTGTGGATTTTTGTTTTTCAGTTCAGAATTCAGCATTTCAGACTGTCTCCTTTAAAAAAAAAACACAACACAGGAAGAAAGAAAAAAAACCCCATAAATATACATAAGTGGTAAATTTGCCATCACAGTGTCTTGCTTTTCAATGGTGCAGAGTGATATGGTGATATGCGTACCTACAATGCAACAGTCTCTCTTGCTGCTGGTTTTTGTACATTGTGCCTATATTTCCACCTGAACACATTTGCTAACATTGAAGGAATGATTTCAGAGGCGGCCTAGCTAGGGTTTGTGAATACCACGTTTTCAGCATATTTAAATGTTTTGTAATTGGGTGATATGAAGTCCAGTTATGTCAAAACATATAGTTTTGGGTTTATTTGCTTTTTCTTGTATGACTTGATTCAAAGTTGTGGAAGCTGATGGTCTACTGACTGATGGTCAGTAAAGGTGACCTTTCTGAAATGGAAGATTTATCAGGTTGCACATGCATGGTGAAACATGCAGCTGCACACACACAAATCCTGCTACAGCCTGAAGAGCTCTCTGTGCATCTGTCCTCCCCAATAACAAAAAGAAAAGAAGAAAATTGATTGCTTTCAGGGCTTTGGTGTGAATTCAAATGGGAGACACTGATGAGGTACAGCAAAAAGGAGCATTCTACAAAATGCCTTGTGACTTGTAGCTGAAATTATTAAAATGCTCAGCTTCCTCTGGCCTTCATTTAGCATATTGCCTTCCTCAATCAGGTTTGAACATTTCTGAAAGAGGTTGTTTTAATGTGTGACAGGAGCAGCCAGAGTGATTGCCCTTGGAATGGAGGAAAGAGGGAGCTTCAGTCATCTTCATTGCCCATCTATCAGAAAAGTGATTCTGAAGTCTAATAGCTACTAATGTGCTCACCCGTGCTGGAGGCAGCTTCAGACAAGCCTTGCTTCCAGGCTACCTTCCAATCTGTCCTTGCTAATACACCAGTGCTGCAGGAGTCTACGTACCAGAACAGGCTCCCTTCTTTAGCTTCAATTAGCTACAGAATTGGCAGAAATCTTAAGCTGCCCTTTAAAATGGGAACAGTGTTTATCTGCTTCAGATGACAGTGAAACTGTAGAACAGCATTTTGAACATATTTCACTGAGCTTTGAACATGTGTAATGAAAGTGAGTCTACAAAAAGCAAGTCTCATTTCAGGAGCTATTTTATTTCACTGTGAGCAGTGAAATGGACTGTGCCTCCGACTTGTTTGGAGATGGATTGTCTGAGCACTTTGAGTAATTCCTCTGTAGATCATGGCAACAGATGGTACAAGTGATCTGAAAGCTCAAAAACCACAAAAAAAGGTGGAGGCTTTGTTCTGCTTAACCACTGAAAATTTTATAATAATCTTCAAGGGGTCCACAGTTTCACCTGCATGCTTCCATTGAGAATACCAAATCACAGTAAAACAAATGCAACACATGAGAAATACAGCAATATGCTATAAAACTGATTATTACCTTCAATGGCAAAGGGTTTTCCCACAGTTAGAAGCTTGCAGTCAGCATCTATTGACACTTCATAATCTAAGAGTGCTTTATCCATAATGAAGGCATCAAGTTTCTCTGGATCATGCCTGTATTCAACATCAAAGGCAGAAACAGAATCACTTTACAGTCTAAGACTCAATGATGCTCACTGAGTATTTATTTATGCAGTTCTCTGGAAGATTACTGAATGAAAACAAGAGACTAGGGACTGCTATTTAAAATGTAAAACTGATCTGTATTTTGAAGAAGGGAATTGTGCATGAAATACAAACTTTGTGCATCTAGAGCAGGACAGCGGGCGTAGGACTTATTTTGCTCCCATGAAATACTACTGATCTGAAAGATGGAAAATACTACAATATGTTAGACTTCAACTCATTTGAAAGGTAGCACAAAGCTTTATTGGAAAAGATCAAAAATTGCTAAAATACTAGCGCTGTCTTGGTTTCTTCATGATATTAAAGTCACAATCATTAGAGCAAAAATGCATTTCTCCTTGAATATGAGGTAAATTGATTTCCTTCACCCAGATCAGCTTTCCTCTATGTTCAGTCTTCATGAACACAAAGGACTGGATTTTACTAACATAATCATTTATGAATAGCACGCTTGCATAAAGTGATGATACAAAAGAACAGTTGCAGTGCCTGTTCTCATCTGCTTCACAGACTGGACTGCAGCCTTCACTATGGTCACCTTAAAGGTCTGGATGTTCTCCTGATGTGAAGTTACATTACCTCATTGATTTTGATGGATTGATTCCAGTTTAACCTGAAGGAACTGCCACGTATGTTAATTATTGTTAGGATGGGTCTGGGAAAAATACATAAATAGGAAACAACTTCTGGTGAAACATTCTGAGGCCATCTGTTAAGCAACCTCTATGTGTAAAACGAATGAATTATTTCAGGCTTATTATCACCTCTTCTGTTTCCTGGCAGAGTGAATCAATTATGTGACCCCAGATTGTTAGGCACAAATGTCTCTGAAACACACTGATACCATGATTCCCTAAAGCAAGAAGATTTGCTGTTTATTACTTTCTACCAGCCTAATGCTTCTTTTATTCATTTTACTGATAAATGCTTTAAGGCTTCTCTCTTAGAACCTCTCTCCTCCCAGCATGCTGAAGATGCCGAGGAACCTCATCTCCAGCTTTTGCTTGGACTATGATGTTTTTTCCTGAATGTTTCTCACTGCTGAACAAGGGCTCCCAAGCACAGAAACCTGCCAGGATTTATATGTTCCCCATGCTTGATGGCACGCTATCAGTTAGTGCAAACCACAGGTTTCCCTGGAAACACTCCAGCTGGTGCTACGCTAGCTTGCTCTCCCAGTATCACTCCCTCCAGGTGATTATGTGCTTTCTTCTCTATCTGCCACACTCCCTTCAATGACTGCTTTGTGGGTGACAATGAAAGTGGGAAACCCATCATCATCTCACTGCTGTGCATTCTGGTCAAGGGACCAGATCTGCTGTTGCATGCAGAGGCTCACTTTAGATATGCCACTCCATCCGGGGTTGCAGGGACATTGTACCGTCGCATGTACTCATGCATTTCTGGGAAACTTTGCCTCACATAGTCTTCTGCACTGCTTTCTCGCACGGTTCCAAACCGAAACCCTTGGGATGGGTGGTGGAGCTGAAAAAATGAAATTACAGATTAGCAGAGTCATTTGCCTCCTTCACATCTGGTATCTTGGTCTTAAGTGTGAACAGTTTGTCAGAAATTCTCAGCATTCACAGACCTGCCTCTGATGTTTTCCTGCAGTCAGCTTTCCGTATCACAGAAAACGTATAAAAAGACTTACCAGATGACTAATTAGCCTGTTCATCTACTCTCAGGATTTTCTTCAAATGTGAAAAACACTTCCCTTGAGACACCCTGAACCCCCAAATCCAGGTATTTAGTTGGATTATTTGTCTTTAAACCAGTAAACGTTTCAGGAAGTGTCACGAGAAGCCTCCAGGCTTGTAGGATCCACTTTCTGGGCCTCCGGGTAGCCAGTGAAGGACCCACAGTCTGGATTTATTTTGGCAGAATGTTTTTTATTGACTCCTTAAGGATGACATTTAGTCTTCTGCAGAAAGGTAGCATGACCATTTCATTTCTAGAAGCCTAGACACCATACTGCAGACCACTGCTGTCTTTGCCACCAGTCTCCACAGAGAAACTAAGGACTGAAGTGTTGTGGACACCAAAAGGTCTCCCCTGGCAGTGAGAAGAATACCCCTCAGCATAGCCCAGGCTGTAAGCCTGATTAACGGGCTATACACATACAGACAATTTTTGCAGTTCTGAGTCCTTTCCTTTTCACAACCGGCTCCACCTTCTGTATTAAAGCCCTGAGTAGTTTGGATGTTCACAAGTTTGTTCACAAGTTTGTATGTTCACAACAGACCTCTGTTTCTAAAGTACCCTGTTTGTCTTCGGAGCGTTTAGTGACTCATGGGGAAATTCTCAAATTGCAGTGGAGGTGTCAGGCAGTGTCCTCTACTATGCCAAGCACTTCCTTCAGATGGCTGAGTGTTGCCAAGATCATACAAACTAGGAAGCCTTCAGCAATGTACCAGCCTCTTGAAGGTCAGACTTGCAGAGCACAGCAAGCCAAATAAAGCTAAAGCTGAAGTAGTCATGCTGTATTTGCTTCCCAGGAAGCTCATGGTCTTCACAGCAGCTTGCAAAGATGATCTCCCCATCGCCATGCTCTGTTTTGCAAAGACCAAGCGAAGAGGTGTTCTGGTGGTCCATCTGGCTCTCTGCGTTATCATCTATGTAAAACAGAGTGTAGGGCAATAAAAAGCCATACAAAAGACCCTTCCCGCTCTTCTCTTCAATGATGCCATGGATAAAAGAGTATTCCTAGCTTTTTTAAGAATAACAGAGGTAGGATGTAAACACACAGTCATCTAGTTCAGTCTGAAAAGGAACAGAAAAAGGTCTTTTGCATGGTATTTTGATGTCCTGGAAGCTATGAATATACTGTACTTCTGGTAATTTTTATCTAGAAAGTGGGCAGGTGCTTTCGACATTGTGCTTTGCTGATCTGGTCCCTGTGTTACAACCCAGGAATGAGACCTTCAGGTAAATACATGTGGTCATGGAGGGACTGTTGGCTTGTTTTTTGAGGTGTTCTGGTCTGGATGACCATGGGACAAGCAATGCAGGGCATGCCTGCATCCAGAGCTGGCCATAGTGCATGCTGTGCCAGAAGGACTGCGGGTGCAGAGGGAAATGCTCTTGCCTGGAAGTGTGGGAGCAGCATTCAAGTGCCAGAAGACATAAATAACAGAGAGTTGTGCTGTGACAATACATCACGAAGACTTCCAGCACAATCATCAACCCAAATCTAGGTCTAGTCTCAAGACATTGAAGATGACCTGCTTAAAGAATGAGCTTGGAGTGAGCTCCATGCACTCCATGTCTCAAGAAGCTCGTCGCCACAGTAAGTACTATTTTTTTAGGTTTTATTTCTTGGCAGTTTCAGTGAAGAGACCGAAAAAACCACTGAGTCTCAACATACTCAACCATATTGCCACCTTTCAAGTTAACTTAGGTGTTTGTTGTGATATTTGTGGTCCACCTAGTGATGTCAATTGCAGTAAAACATCTGATCTGCAGATAAAGACCGCTGATGCCTAACTTCACTGGAAAGTATCCCTCACTCAGCCTGTCACCAATGTCTACCTGCAATTGTCTGTCCCAAACACTTTATTGAGGACTGTCCATGCTTTGCTTTGTGTTGGGTACATTGTAAAATTTCACTACAAATGATGACAGTATTGGAATATGTATCAGATCAAAAGTCCATCTGGCTTAATATCCTGTCTCTAGCAACAACATATGTCTGGTGGGAGGTCCTGGAATGTCTATGTAAGGAAGTTATGTAGCGATCCTTTGAATCCCATGCTCTATCTGCTTCTGGTAATCTATGCTTTTCCTTAAGCATAAATATGTGTCTGCAACTTTGTACTTGATGACCCTTGACTCCTTTTATGAAGGATAAATCTTAATAGTGTTTTAATCCTTTATGTCTTTTGGGATGTCTGTTTTCTTCTTACTGCTGCTTATCCACATGAGCTTGCAGCTACATGAATAGTGGATTAACAGCACAGAACGCTGCCAAAGCAGATAATGGACTACCTGCACTACCTTCACTGCTCATCTGCTAAGACTGCTAAGGGTTACTTGCTTCAACAGAAGATAAAAGCTTCCAGATGGAAACAAGATTCATCAGTTGTCACTGCTGCTTTCTTACTTTCTGTAGTCCTCTCCTGGGAAGATTCTTTGAAAAGATGGAAACCACAAATATCTGTGTCCTGACAGGATAGGTAACTGTCAGAGTCTTTCTGTGAGTCTTGCCTTATCAGTTGTCTCTTTTTTTATTTAGTTTTTCTGTTTCTCATGCTCTGTTTTTGTTGTGTTTCTTACATTTTAAGAGTTCTATATGGAAAGATTCTTTTTTCTGTAAACCAATGACAGAATGCTAATGCCTGGGGCCTCAGAGAAATCATGAGCTCTGAAAAATCAGCATTTGGAGAACCACAATTTAAAGAATCAGAATGGATTATATTGTTTTTTAACTGGTGATTTGCGGGATTTACTTGCTTTTTTATCAGTAATAGCAAATATAAAAGATATCTTATTAAGAAGAAATAGCTGTCCAAATTATAGGCATTTCTAGTATGTGGAGACTACACTTCTGTGTAGTCTATGGTATTTTTCTCATTCAAAGCTTAGTCAGTGTGAAAGGTGAATAACAATCACAAAGCAAGTAATGGGCACTAGGAACCGTTGACACTTTTTGTATCGATAGAGTACCTGGCAATTTTCTGGAGATTCAAGTATGATTAAAAATAAACGAATGCAATACCTGCAGATCTATCTCCAGACATGAGTTTTCTTGGCACTCAGCTTAGACAACCTTACAAGGTCCCTCCAAAATCAGACACCTATGGCTGTAAGAAATCAAAAGAACAAGGGTTGTCTTGACCTAGAGAGAGGTTTTCAGGGGACAGCGAAGTCCCAGCCTGACAATTCAGTGAACAAGATGTAAAGATAGCTATAGGTATAGATGAGATATCCCTTTTTATTTGTCTCTTTAACTGTCAGACCTCCCTTTTGAAGACCTGGGAGCAAAGGAAATCACTTGTTTTTTTAAAGAGCTCATTGCTCCTGAATATAATGGCTCCTCAGCCAGCAGGCTAACTCTGTACTCCCAAGCAGCCTGTCCCATGCAGCGCTCGGGAGCTAAGTACTGCTGCCACGTGTGGGACTCGTTAGTGTTAGCAAGTAACCAGCCCTTTGAATGTTAGCTAGCAAGGCCACCACAGCACCACAGCAAACTGCAAACTGTGCTGGCTGAACTGCCGAGTGGGAGAAGTAGGGGAATGCCAACGGCCTGGGCAATGTAACTGTGTATATGAATATATTAATGGAGTATTTAAAAGCCAATGTTTTTCAGGGGTTAAAAAGCTATTTAGTGTTGCAGGTTAGTGGCGCTCTCAAAAAAGGTGAAGGTTGTAGCAGCTAACAGTATCACTTTTGCAGCTCAGATACCGGAGATCAGGGATTTCATACTAGTAAACTGAGTTTTACATATCTGAAGCACTGACGTATACCAAGAATGGCCATACTACTTAGGTGTATCCCCAATTTTTAGAACCGTCTCCCCAGTCTACTGTGGGAAAGCTATTGCATATGAAGTTGTAAGACATATGGTGACCTCCCATTTGGATCTGGCTCAGTACGTGGGGCAAACTCAAGAGATGATCTTGAGAGCCCCCGCAGCAGAGGGATGCAGTGCCAGAGTGGGTTGTGCACTTGTCTTGAATCAGTACTCTGACTTCACAGGTTTAGGGCTGTGGAATGCCATGACCAGAGGATCTTGCTGCATAGGTCAGGGGCAGATGGTTCAGGAAGATGACCCACCTTCTGTCTAGACTGAGCTCTTGGGGGGGAGGACTAAGAAATGCTGCTGGGAAGTGCAGGATGAAGGTGCAGGAAAAAGGCTAAAGAGCTTTGGAAGTGAGTATGTTTTCTGGAACTGGGGTACCAATGCTGTCTCTGTGACCTCTAAGGACAGTATCTACTGTGGGATGCATGGGCTGTGCCAATATTTCTAGGAACAAGTCTCACTGTTTAAGAAAACATACCATGGGTAACAAAACAAACAAGGGCTAATGTTTTCTTACACTCTGTAAGAAAACAAGGGGTAATGTGAACGCCTGCAAGTGCTGCGGAGGTGAAATGGTTGTTGGGTCACTTGAGCACTGAGATAGGGAGGTCATGTAGTGTTAAGGAAACTCAAGAGCTTTACAGAACATCCAGCTTCTCTGACAGCCAGGAAAAGCTTTGGGACTTCTCAGAGTCTTCTGTGCTTTGTATAGCATTGTGCTACTAGACAAATGATGTTTGTGTTGCTTACCGCCTAAAGCAAATACTCCAGCTACCACTTCCCTTGGTTTGGCACCTTACTTCTAGATCTTCTTGGTTCCTGTCTTCTGTTGTTAAAACATCTGCTGAGTGGGAAGTGGAGAATTTGTTTTATTTCGGAAGGTGTTGAGAAGAATTGGGCATCTGCATACATCTCTGGCTTGGGGTGCCAATTATGCATGAAAATACCAATGTGATAAAACCAC